ATGCCATTTCAGCTTAAAAAGGCTTCATAGGAACACTGCTTCCATATAGTGGGGGAAGCTGGTAATCCATTTCCTGACTTCCTGGGTTCTCAGAACCTCCCATGTGAGAAATGCTGCACTTAGAAGGATTTTATATTTCCCTACTATCAGGACTGGCATTCTTGCTTGGGGACTTCCACACAAAGCGATACACTATTGAAAAGGGGGATTTGGTCAGCTTCTGGGATATCACAGCTAAGCCCTGATTCAGAGTCCATGTCCTTTTTATTCCCAGCACTTAAAACTTAACATTCCTTGCCCTGTCCCCCATCCACCTCTTGGTGGCTCCCACCTCCATGACACACATATACAGGTTTGGGTGCGCACACCTTTCTCTTGCCAGCAGGCACCCTCACCGTCCTGAAGCCCCAGGGAGGGTAGGGAGCCACAAGCACCAACCCCTCCATCAGTTTTCACGTGATGACAAAGGGCCTGTTGTTTGTTAAGGGCCACAAAGAGGCAGCTTGTTTTTTCCCCAGGCCTCGGCCATCAGGGCCAGCCCTTGGCTTGGTTCCCATTACATGGGATGATACTTTTGAATGTATATGAAACTGCTGTGTTTTTCTTTCCACTTAAACTATGATGTTCTGTGGCTCTCCACCCATTTAGTCAACAGGTTTCCATGCTTCAGGGAAAGAGAGATGCCAAGTGAACAACCAGGTCATTGCTCAGCTTTGCATGCCAATTTATTTTTTTAGTCCCTTGCAAGACAAAGCAGTAAACAGTGGCCTCCAAAGTAGGGTGTGCCCAAGACAACAACACGCTGGGCTTCAGAAAGAAAATTTGGATATGTTTGTTTTCATTTTCCCTTATCTTTTAAAGTGTCTCTTTTTGGATGTATGCTCATAAAGCATATAATGTATTAGTACAGTATTAAATGTATATAATTCTAAGATATATATCAAATATATATGCACATATTCAATTTTTTTTTACCGCTAAGGATCAAAAAGTTGAGGCCACTGATTTTGAAAGCAAGACTGTTTTAGGAGAGGAATTTTCCCCTAAATTCCAAAAGTTCCCTTTCACTATCAAAAGTATTGTTAAGAGTTCTGTATGTTGACTTTTACTACAAGTGTAGAGAGAGATAACTTAGATTCCTGCCTATCTAGGGAAAAGTTAGCACCTCCAGTATAGGAAGGTGGGGTAGAGAAAAGGAAGAGAGGCAAATAGTATATGTGTGGAGCTTGTCTTACTCCCCACTTGGGCTCAAGACCCTGCTGGGAAAGCCGAGGAGATGCCCAGAGCAGTGGGGCTGTTCCTTCTTTCCTCAGGTACCTTCGGGAAGGTCCATAGCCCACATGGGCCATGCAGTGGAGAGGTAGGTGGGCTGCAAGGTGGACTGTGGTCTCGCAGAGCCCCGAATCTTGCAATGGGAGTGCAGTGGAAGCCAAAGGTCCCAGCCCCACTAGGAAACTGAGTAAGTACTCAGACCCAAAAGATTACAGAAAGTTGAGGGACAATGAGAGGCCACCAAATGTGAGAACTGAACGACCAGGGGACTCAGGCGCCGCAGAGCCAGGTGAGACCAGTTTCACCTGAGTGAGCTCTAGGCAGGTGTTCGTTTTCAGAAACCAGACCAAACCAGCCACTCTACAGGACGAGCATGAAGGAAGTGAAGAATGGTTCCCACACCCACCCCCCTCATGAGGACCAGTGCAATTCCCTTTCCACTCAGACGCTTCTACAGCCAAAGGCTCTTTGTTATGGGTTGAACTGTGTCCCCCCAAATTCAAATGTTGAATTCCTAATCCCTTGATAAGATTTCTGCACCCAGTGTCGATGTGGGAAGGAGGGTTTTTCACACACTACAAGCAATTCTCCAACACCAGATGGATTTAACTCAGTTCTGACACTGTCTACCAGGAGATAGCATCAGGTTCCACAGATCAAGGGCTCAGTCTGGCAGGACTGCACCCCATCTCCAAATTCAGATGCCAATTGCAATCCCAGGTTATCACTGTGTTTTGGAGCCACCTATTATGGAGCAGAGCTTCCAGCGACCACCTTCTTGGGTTGGATTAATTTGCAAGAGCAGCTCACATTTTCCTTAGGGAAGAGATGTGTAGGCCAAGGTATAGGGAAAGGGCGCGGGGCTTCCATGCCCTCCTGGACTGCACCACTGTCCCCTTATCTCACCAACTCAGAAGTTCTGCTAAGTTCTCCATCCTTTGGGTTTTTATGAAGATTCATGGCATAGGCATGGCTGATTTAATTATCATCCAGTGGTCAGGGTGGGACCGAAAGTTCCAATCCTCTAATCACTTGGTTGGCTCCACCAGCAACCAGTCCCCATCCTTTAGGCACCCTCCAAAAGCCACCTGATTTACAAAACAAAAGGCACCTATATCAGTTCATCACTTAGGAAATTCCTAGAGTTTTAGGAGCTCTGTGCCAGAAACAGTAAGGCCAAACACATGTTTATAAATTACAGTATCACACCCCTCATACAGTACCTCAGAATGTCACCCTATTTGGAAATAGGTTGTTGCATATGTTAAGATAAGGTCATACTGGAATAGGGTGATCCCCTCGTCCATAATGATTTTATCCTTATAAAAATGGGAAATTGGGAGACAGACACACAGAGAGGAGGCACCATGTGAAGAGATGGCCTTCTACTAGCCAAGGAGAAAGACCTGGAACAGATCATTTCCTCTCATCCCTTGGAAGGTAAACAACCCTTCTGACATCTTGACCTTGGATTTCCAGACTCCAGAACTGTGAACCAAAAAGTTTCTCTTATTTGAGTTACCTGGTCTGTGTACTTTGTTACAGCAGCTCTAGCAAACAAATACATCATCTTGCTTAAGATGCAAGTGTATGGGGAGAATATGAAAGACTAGCTCTGTATTCAAGAGGGGCTGAGAGACCCTGAAGGAGACTGTTCTAGACCAAAAAGAGATGACATCTCTTGAGTTACCTTTCACAGACAAGCAGAAGTCCTCTGTTCCCACCCCAGGATAGAGGCTGTGGAAGCAGATAAGAATAGCCACAGCAAACAAGGTTGCCCTTTACTGTACATCTGAGTGTGCTCAACAAGATTTCAGCCCAGCTCTACTCAAATCTCTGAGAGATTTTGGCCTAACCTGGCCTGCTTGCTCAGTGTGACCATGGTCCACCCGCCTGGGTATTTCACAGTTCACAGGATGCTCGCTTAGTATGTCACCGTCTTATAACAGTGCAGGCCCGCACCCCCCACCCCTTGCTTTAGTCCAGATAGCAAGATCCTGAGCTGTATAAGGAGCTCGTCTGTACAAGCTCACAAGAGCTAGGTATTGAATCTTTAGAATCTTTAGGAACCAGTTGTTAAAAACACAGGTATTATTAACAATTAATTTATAAAAACTTATAATGAAATAAACTGTTTCAAAAAGTAATAAATACTACTCAAAAATCATCATTTGCTAATTATTTTACTCAATTTTACTATTATCTGTACTTTTGAGGTTATCTGTGCTCCATCTGGATGATAGAGAAACTTTCTGATGAATTGTTGCTGTGCATCTCTCCCCAGTTCCAAGTTCAGTAAATTCACGTTGGTAGCTGGAAAACGACTATGGTTGGGAATATGTACACAGTGGAAATTGGCAAATACTGCATATCAGCACCACCACCCCCTCCCAGGAGAGCCAGCTGTTGGGCATTTACCAGTACACCATTGCATAGATGCCAACCTGGGCCTTGTGTATTTATTCTGATAAAGTGGTAGATTAACAGAGAAAGATTAAGAAACAACTGTTACCAGGTATGCCCAGTTCTGATTTTGGGATTTAAACCATCAAGGAGCAATGAGAACAAATCTAGTCTTGCAGTTACCCAAAGGAGAGGGACACCCAGTAAGGTGACACCAGCAAGGCCATCCTGTGTTGCCAGATGTGGGACAGGACACTAAACAAGTAGCTACTCACCTCAATGCCTTTGTTTTCCTTTGCCAGTATTGAAAACCAGTGCTGAACAGGGAATCTCTGACCTCACTTCTACCTAACCCCTACTAGTGTAAAATATCTTGTACTAACTCTTCTAATCCTGCTTCCCTGCAGCAAGAGAATAAGGAAGCCCATATGGACCCCAGACCTCCAGGACTGACTCACAGCACCCTGAGCTCCACTCTGTAAACACTCCTCCTCACTAGCTGCCATGGTATTTTAACTAGCCAGCAGGGCTGGGCCCTTGGGCAGGCTGCTCTCCTTGCGTAGTAGCAGGTGTAAAAATAGCAGGTGACCCCACTTCAGGGATAAGGTGCCAGGCAAAAGTGTTTCTGGGAACACAACAGCCTAGCCCGACTTGGGGGCTGATCTGGACTAGTCACCAGCTCCACCACTTACCAACTGTGTGGCCTTAGACAAGCAACATTCTTTCCAGGCCGCTGTTTTCTCATCTGTAAAGTAGGGAAACAACAGAGATTGTTAAAAGTTGAATGAACAAGAGCTAGAGATTTAAGAATATATTTTTCAAAGTTACAGTGTTAACCAATGTAGTAGAGGGAAAACCAATAAGTTAACTATAAAGAAGGAGGAGATGTCATAAAGGGGGTAGTGTAATCTAAATCCTTGTGTGAGAGCAGCACAAGAGAGATCAAGCATATCAGAGATGAAGAGGTCTTCCCCCCCGCAGAGCAGTGACAAGAGAACAGGTAGAAGTAATTACCTTTAGGGTTTAGGACTCAAGGTGGGGAGAGACGCAGCTGTTGATTTTCATTGCCAGATTTTCCAAGCTTTACTTTTTAATCCTGTTGGTGAATGATCTTGATCCATTTTTTTAAGAAGAAAACAGCTGTGCATTATGTTAGGTAGATTTGTAACCTCTTGAAAAGTAGTTGATTTCATTTGCTCTTTTCTCTGGAGTTGAGTTTACACCCCTTGCTAGGACACATTGGAAATAGTTTCTTTTTATAGCTCCTGGGTCTCTGAAAGTTTCTGCAGCTCCTTTAAGTCTGCTTTGTATGTCTCTTGATTTATAGTATGTTGGCAAATCATTCCAAATAAAGCCTTCTTTTCTTGCAAAAATATGTAAAGAAATAGCAACGGATGATTCAGAGTTTGATGCGAATGCTTTCATGTCTGAAGTGCTAAGCAGGGTGGCAAGCAGTCAGGCAGCCTGGGGAGCACATAACCCTTGCTCAGCTGAGCCTGGCCGTGGACCCAGAACCAGTCTGCCTCCTGCTTGGTCCTCTCCAGCAAACCCACCATCCTCTCTCACCCCCATCCTTAGACCCAGTAGGAAATCTTAGACCCATTAACTTGAAGCTGACCTGCCCCTAATGGTTCTATTGATAGGCTTCAGAAGACCCACAACCCCCCAGAATTACATTTGCATGTATTTTTCTGGGAAGAGTACCTAGATAGTCTTCAGATTTTCAAAGTCTCAGGACCCTAGAACTGAAAAGGTTTAGCTGTATGTAGGTCTCTAATACTCCTGACAAAGCAAACTTAACTGGTTTTTACACCCATATAAACAGTAAAGACTGATTTTCTACCCCTTCTCGCATTTCTAACATACAGTGGTTTCTGCGAGCTCCAACCCTGGACCAACTTGTCTAAATCTGAAGCCTACCTCCACCATTTCTTAGCTGTGTGACTTCAGGAAAATTACTTAACCTCTCTGTGTCCCTGTTTTCTCAATTACAAAAAAGGGTAAATACAAAGAAAACTAAATCCTGATTCAACAAGATATATGCACCCCTATGTTTATTGCCACATTATTTACAACAGCCAAGATATGGAAGCAACCTAAGTGTTCATCAATAGATGAATGGATAAAGAAGATGTGGTACATGTACACAATAGAATATTCTTCAGTCATAAAAAGGAAGAAATCCTGCCATTTGCAACAACATGGATGGACCTAGAGAGTATTATGCTCAGTGAAATTAGCCAGTCAAAGGAAGACAAATACCATATGATTTCACTTATTTGTGGAATATAAAAACAAAATGAATAAAATAGCAGTAGACTCATAGACACTGAGAAGTGAAGGGTGGTTTCCACTGGGGAGGGGTTGGGGTGGGTAGGTGTGGAGAGTGAGGGAGATTAAGGTGCACAGAAATTCTCAATCATAATATAAATTGGTCACAGGGGCTGTAGTACAGCATGAAGAATATAATCAATGATTCTGTAACATCTTTCTATGTTGACAGATAGTAACTGCACAGTGAGGATAACTATTTAATAATTTGGTTAACTGTTGAGCCACTGTGTTGTATACTTGAAACCAATATAAGATTGTATATCAATACTTCAATAAATTTTTTTAAAATTTTGAATATGCCCATATCCACACCCCTAAAATATATATGTGAACATTCTGTTAGGGCCCATGTTGAGATCTTGGAAGGAGCCCGTGCAAGGGAGGAGCCCTGAAAAAAAAAGGGTAAATGATAGCAGCTACTCATTGGCTTGTAGTGACGGCTGAATGAGGTTCAGTGCTTAGAACAGAAACAGTGTTAGGGGGCCTTTCGCCCCTCCTTCAAGCAGACTGACGACTCCCAAGTGGTGACCCCTGGTGGAACTGTGCGCGTATCTTCCACATGCTTGGGGATGTAGCTGAAGCACATCCCGGTAGTCAGGGCAGTGCCTGGCAGGGCCTAATGCATAGATGACACGGCAGAGATTCCATGGAGAAGAGCAGAACCTTCCATAGTGTGCGTTGTGTCTTGCAGGTGGACATCTAGGCAGCTCCTGCATTAAGCACTCCCTCAATGGCCTTCTGGGGCCCCTTCATCTGCTGAGCTAGGAGGACAGTGTATTATTCTTATCAGCCCACCTAGCCCACCCTTTCCTCCACCCACTTGATCAACATGCACATATCCTGGAAGACTTAGCTTGCGTCTCTCCTCTGAGAAGTCTTTGTGGACACCCCCTTGTGAAACACACTGCTTTTCCTTAGGGACCCCCCGTGCCCTGTGATACTGCGTGCCAGCCCCTGTGCCGAGAAGGCTTTCTACTTTAGTCCATTTAAGCCTTACAACAACCCCCAGAGTAAACAGAAATTATTACTATCCCCCAGTTACAGAGAAGGAAATTTAGGCTTAGAGAGACTCCTAAAACGTAATCTCTCTGAGCCAGGACCATGCTTTTATCTACTTCTCTAGACTTCTGCTCCGATTCTGCCCAATTCCATTAGCATTTTAAAAAATCTTTAAATTGTTTAAAGTCTCCTGTGACCCTCCTAAAGACAGATATTATATCTGAATCACTTCTGTATCTCAAACTTAAATCATTGTGCCTGGTGTATAGTAGGTTTTCAATACATGGATGGATGGATCTTGAATTCAGGCTCTGCGAAATTCCTGCTCCAACTCTCCTCCAATTGCAACCTTTGAAAAAGACTTCCAGCCTTGATCAGGTGATTTTTAAACAATTAATAATCAAAAAACAAATATTTACCTAGTGTCTACTATGTGATAAGCACCCAGGATACAGCAGTAAACAAAATAGCAGACCCTCCTGCCCTCATACTTATGCTCCTTTCATTGACAAACCTGTATGGGGACTGCCTCCTGGCAGTGCCTTTCTGATGCCTCTTGCTGGGAAGATAGTGGTGAAGAGCCAGACGTGCCCCCAGGAGTTACATACAATCCTGATGAATAAATACACGGGTATCACTAAAAAGCTACCCCCACACTCAAACCAAAAGTCTCAGCTCCCAGGCAGGTTGGCAGCCCGGGCTCTGTCTCAGGCACAGGAGCCCTCCTGGCACCCTCCTCTGAGTTCACTGTTCCCATGTGTTGGGCTGCGGCTTCTTCCCCCCCCACTCCCCCTGCCCCTGCCCCTCCCCCCCCCTCCTCCTCCTACTCCCCCTCTCCCTCCCCCTCTCTGGGACAGAGCCTGGGCAGGCCTGGGACACTACTGTCTGGCCTGGGCTGTTGTTAGCCCAGGGATCAAGGAGAGGAAACCCTGCCAGCGAGTGCAGGGTGGTGAAGCCAGGAGCTGGCTCCGGTTGGCACTACTGGGGCAGCCAAGGTCAAGTGCAGGGAGATGACTGCAGAGGCTCTGAGACTAGCTGGGGAGCCAGGGACCCAGAGCTCACCACACATGTCCTTCCTGGCATTTTCTTCCATGCACAGATTTTTGACTATGAAGTGCCTTGCAGCTGCAGAAGGGAGGGAAGGTACAGTCTGTTACCACAACAAAAACTGTGTTACTAGACTATGACGGCTCGTGCAGAGCACAGAGGGTGGGTCAAATCAGCCTCAACTCTTTCCCTCCAGTTGCCTCTCTTCCCACACCTATAAGACAAGCAGAGCTGTCTGGCCATCTGTCCTCCTCAGTGACACAAGAGTCCCAGTCCCAGCACAGACCTTCAACATTCTTCAGCAGCTCTTCCTGAGGTACCCCCGGCCCCCTCACCTCCCATCCCAACTAGTCTTGGGCATTCAGTGGTGTCTCCCTCAGTCTAACCTCCCTGCCCCCCAAGATTTGGTAATTAGCTATTTTTACTCAGTGACTACACAGCATGCACTAGTTAGAGTGGGAGTAAGCAAGCTGGGATGTAAGGGGTTCTTCACCTTCAGCAATCCGGTCATTCTAGACTTGGGGGTAGGCCTGCAGACTAACAGGATCCTCTTACTCTGCTAAACCAGGTGAAGGAGAAAGCCTGGAAGAAGTTCAAAGTAGGAGAGGTCCACAGCATGGATCCCTGAATGTGCTGGGTTCACCCTTACTTGGTGGCATGGGGGACCTTCATTTTCCTCCCTGCTTTTCCACCTAAATAACTCTTCCTTGATTTTGAAGATTCAGTTCAAGTAATTCCTCTTGTAGGTCACCGTCCCAGAGCCCTCCAGTCCACAGTGAGCTCAAGCTGCTCCAACATTGTAAAGCTGTCACTGTATATGCAACAAATTTATTCACATGTTACCATTTTGTCTTCTGGGTTGAGAACTGGACCTGTTCGTTTTCGGACACATGGGTCTACATGGAGAATACATTTGAGTGCATAGTTTACATGGTGAACTCTTTGGGGGCAGAGGGCATATCTGTACCTCTGGGAAGCTCCCTCACTCTGGTTTCCTGACTTGTGTGGGGTAGGTGTGTACTTCCTTGCTGACTGAGGGCTGATTAAAGAGGGAAGCTTGCTCCATCATTTGATTTCACACCTGATAAGACGGGGAGGTAGCTGGCACTTTGGGGAAGGGCCCATACCTTGTCTCTTCTCTGCCTCATGTGCTGTTTCAGCAAAAATCTAGGCTGAATAGAAATCCAAAGGAGTGGAAATTACAGGAATGTTGTGCTTTGCTAGATCCATGTTTCAAAGTGATGATAAAACATCCAAGTACACTTCCCTTCCTAGTTCAGAAACCACAACAGATGCAAATAAGCGTGGGCAGTAATTAGAGGCCAAGGTGAAGGAAAAGAGTCATCCACCAGGCCCTGGAAAACCTCATCAAAGGAAATCAGCACAGAGAATAAAGACTCTCTGGGTTTGTTTTGGAAGAAAAGACGGGGGATTATGTCCTGGCTCCTATAAGTACAAGAGACCTGGCACTGGCTTGGGCCATCCAAATATTAACCTAGTAATTACGTGTTGTGGGCAGGGCCCGTCTGGTTTCCTAGTGCCACATCCATATCCTGTGGTGGGTGGCAGGTCTACAAGGCATGGTGATGCCCAGTTTTCTCAGCTCTCTTCTCAGGGTGGGGAAGTAAGAAAAGGCCAGAGCATGGTCTGCAAACACACAGTGAGCCACCCGGAAGATCATTTGAGCAAAATGGGTCAGGTTTCAAGCAGAATGCCTAGTTCTTTATGAACAGGAGCCAAGCCAAGGAACATGTTCTGGTGGCAGTACCAGCGTAAGGGAACAAGGACCCCCCTGGATGAAAAGGTACCAAAGGCAGGAAGAGGGTGAGGAGGTACATTCTATGATCTGTACTAGTGAACACTTTGCCCAACTTCTTTCTTACCTTTCCCAAGGATTACATGGACGCACCCAGGGATTTCTGAAACCTGTGTGAGGCTTAGGGTGATGGCCCCTCGTCTCCCCCTTGGCCCTGGCATTGGCACCCTCTGTTGAGGGAAATGGCTCCTTTCCCTTCCTCCTTTCCCACTAAATCAGCTCAATAAAAATGACCTCTACATTGATAGTGCCTGCACTAGAAGGGATGAGAATCTAGTAAAATGCGTAACTGCTGAACCACTGTGTTGTTCCACATAAGATTGTGTATCAGTGATTCTTTGATTTAAAAAAAAAAAAAGAAAGAAATAGGAATGACTTACTTGGTAAAAATAGTCCTTGTATAGGAGCCATGGGAGCGGGAAGGTACCCGAGAGAAAGAAGTTATGGTCTCTGCCATTTTGAAGGTCAAGGTTGGAGATGGCCTCTGGGGATGCCGGCTTCAAGAGTGTCTCTCCAAAAAGGTGTCCTTCCCAGTGTTACGCACCCCTCGGAGCAACATTCCAGGGTGTCTGACCCCTCATGCCCATGTGACTGCAGACCACCTCCAGAGCTCCTTTGAGGTCAGGGTCTCTACCATCCTGAAGCTTCTGGAATAGGGCCTTGCCTGAGTTAGCGCTCAATGATCTCAGATTTGTGCAAAATCTGGTTACTTCATTTAAACCCTCTGAATGTTTAGGGAGCACCCATTGCTGAGATGTGTTACTCAGCATTAAGGGAGTAACTTACTCACATGCCAAGGTTGGCATGCAGTCAACTGCCTTGGT